TCATATGCGGTATCTTCAAAACGTGTACTATGAGATATACGACCCCGAAATAGACGAAGGGACTTATTTTTATTATCAAGCCGCTGGTCGAAGTTTCAAAGTTGAAATATTAGCAGATGCTTTTGAAGATGGTGAAGACAGAAAACCAAAATCTGCATATCTACTTCATACAAATTTAATTGTTTTAGTTTATTCAATAGCTTCTTTAGAGTCTTTTGAATATATTAAAAAAACTTTGGAATACATTAAATTTGTTTTAAAAAGTGTTTCTTTACAGCCATCTTATCTTTTATGTGCAACACAATGTGATAAAGAAGAAGAAAGAAAGGTATCTCAAAATGAAGCATTTTTATTCGCAGAAAGTTTAGAAACTAGATTTTTCGAGGTGTCTTCAAAAACGAATATAAACATAAAGGATTTATTTGAAGAAATTGTCGTTAGAGCATACGTACAAAAATACGGAAGTTTTCCACCAAAAATAGAAAAAAAGGTCAACAAAAAGGGATGTTTAATTTCTTAATGTTTTTGAAAGTGTTTTTAATGTTTTAGAAGATACTTATTATTGGTCAAAAATATTTTGTTGTATAGTTTTAACAAGTAGTTGCTTATAATTATATATTGAGCCAGTATTGTTTTCAAAAGCGTTAATTATTATAAAATATGTAATATTAAAGATAATAAAACAAAGTGCTGATCAATAATACATGCCAGATATTAAAACAATAACAATTAAAAATAAATAGTCGGTATTACAACATCATCATTTCTATAACGTTATCTGGTACATTTTGACCAAACGAAGTGGATAATTATGTGAAACCACACTAAAAACCATCTTATTGTTTCAGTTTTATTCCTATTTTTTCAACAATAATACAGCCTTTTATTTTTGATCAGATAACATTTCCAAACAGATAACATTGTTAGACTAACTCCATAATTTGTTTAGTGTTAGTATTCAATTGATCAAAATCATAATCAATATGAATTAGAAATATTACTTGAAGATTAAAATAATTATTTAAGTAATAGTCAAAAAAATTTTTGTTGTTTTTTATTATGTTTATTTAAACTTTTTTGTTATCATTACGACTTGTTTATTCATTAATTTATTTGAAATACATTAAATAATAGAAAAAATGATAATGTTTATAAAATAGAGTTAAATTAAATAAAAAAACTTAACACTTAAAATAATACCCTTGTTTTTTTCAATTGATATATTTTTATTGAAATATTAATCCAATTTTTGATAATTTCCCCCTTTTGGTTTGTGTATTGTTTATGCACACAATATAAACTCACAAAAACTAGTAATTTATTTATCAAATTCGAGATTTCCCAGTTTTTAAACCCCTTGAATTTTGTTCAATTGTATTTAATGTGTTAATATATTCGACATTATTATTTCAAAATTTTACAGTTTATAAAATAACAAACACTTATAATTAAATAAATTATAATTATATATTACCTAACTATTATAGCTTTTTAATTTATTTCTTACAATAATATATCGTTTACAATTAACCAATTATTTAATTATAATAAAAAACAGATTGAAATGTCTCAAGTTTTTTAATATTACAGTT